CCATCATCCCCTTGATGTAGCGCAGCAGCCGCTTCACTGTAGCCCAATGATCCTCTCGGGGATCCTCCATGAAGCGACTGACGTAGCCCACGAAGAACGCAATGTCCAGTCTCGTGTGGACTAGGTAACGCAGACCGTTGACGATGCTCTGGTAGACTGTTGCATCTACCTTCGCCGTGGTACTAGTCTTTGTCAGCTTCAGCCGCTCCTCCATCGGAGTCATGCACGGCTTGCACTCAGCCATGCCACTCTGCTCCAATAGCTTCGAGGCATACGCGCCCTGACCGAGCGTGATCGCCTCCTTCCCCTATCTCACCTCGATGCTGAGGTAGTAGGAGAGCGCGCCGAGATCGCTCATTTGAAAATGAGCCGCCATCTTGTGCTTGAAGCTGTCGATATCCTCCGCACGCGCGCTGGTGATGATCAAATTGTCCACATACACGTCGACGACGAACTCCTCCTTCCCCCATCGCCGCGTGTAGAGCGCGTGCTCGGTTGCGCACCGCGTGAACCCAAGCTCGCCCAGCGTAGCGTCAAGCTTGGCGTTCCACGCTCGCGGGGCCTGTCGCAGCTCATAGAGCGCCATGCGTAGTCGGAGCACCCTGTGCTCTGCTCCCTTGATGGCAAAATCCGGATGTTGCCTGACGAAGACCATCTCTGCCAGCTCGCCATTGAGGAAGGCCGATTTTACGTCCAGGTGATGGATGCGCTAGTCCTTCGCTGCTGCCAGAGCCAGCAGCAGTCGGATAGACTCTATGCGCGCTACCGGCGCAAAGATTTCCTCGAAGTCGATGCCCTCGCTCTGGACAAAGCCTCGGGTGATGAGGCGTGCCTTGTGCTTGACAATGGCGCCGCGCTTGTCCCGCTTGACCTTGTACACCCACTTCAGGCCGATTGGACGACATCCTGGAGGTGGATCGACGAGCTCCCAAGTCTCGTTTTCCTCGATCGCCTTCATCTCCTCCAGCATCACCCGTCGCCAGTTTGCATCGCGCTCAGCCAGCGTGAACGTGGGTGGTTCCTCTGCACTGACGAGAAGTAGCTCTAGGTCATTAAGCAGCCGACCCGCTAGGCCTGAGGACCCTGTGCCACCGACGATGTCATCCAGCCTGCGGAACCGCACCTCATCACCGTCGTGGAAAGCATCCACGAACTCTATGATGTCGCTTGGAGGTGAGACGAACTCGATCGACGTTGATGGAGTCCCCTGTTCCGCAGGAGTAGTCGGCATAGCACCTGGAGTGCTCGGCACCCCGGTTGCAGTGCTTGGCACTACTCCTGGACCGCTCGTCATCACTCCTGGAGTGGTTTGCATCACTGCAGGAGTGCTCGGCAGCAGTCTTGGAGTGGTCGATACCACTGTAAGACCTCTTGGCTCCGCTACGGGAGCGTTCGGCACTCGTCCTAGAGTGGTCGGCACCACTGTAGGACCGCTCGGCACCCCTCCTAGAGTGCTCGGCTCTGTTGCTGAAGTGGTCAGCACCTCCTCTCCACCGTCTCCACCACCGTGGATGGCCAAATGCTCGACGACGAAGGTGTTGGTGAAGCCTCCAGCTTTCCCCGTGCCCGAACTATCCCATTCCTAGGCCGCCTTCTCATCGAACACGACGTCGCGCAAGACAACCGCCTTGCCTCCGCGTGGGTCATAAAACCAGTATGCCTTGGTACCTTCCTCATAGCCCAGGAGCACCATCGGTGTGCTCCTGTCCTCCATCTTAGTGAGGATCGGCTTCGTCTTCCAGATGTAGCCGATGTAGCCGAATGTCCAAAGGAAGGACATGCTCGGCTTGCGCCCATACCAAGCTTCGAGCGACATCATGCCCTTTAGGGCCTTTGTGGGCACGCGGTTGACGATGAACACCGCCATGGCCACCGCCTCACCCCAAAACCTTACCGCCATGCCGACCACCGTCTGGTTCTGCCGCTCCACCACGCCATTCTGCTGTGGCGAGTATGGCGCGGTGTGGTGTCGCACCACCCCATGACCAGTGCAGTACGCAACGAACTCTACCTAAGTGAATTCGCCGCCGCGATCAGTCCACATCACGCATAGCTTCTTGCCGCTCTCCGCCTCCACGCGCGCCTTGAACTTCTTGATCGCCTCCACCGCCTCGTCCTTGCTCGTTAGGAGTTATAGCCACATATAGCGACTACAATCATCCACGAGTAGGAGGAAGTACCGCCGATCACCGTTTGTGGATGGCGTGATTGGCCCGTAGAAATCGCCGTGGACGAGCTCGAGAGCGTCCGTCGCGCGATACTTGGCCGCCTTTGGAAATGACAGCCACCTCTAGTTTTCGGCCAGGCAGCTGTCACACAGCTCGCCTGCGTGCCTGATGTGGGGAGCCCTCGGACCATCTTCTCCAGCCGACCGAGTGCGGCGAAGCTGAGATGGCCGAATTGGGCATGCCTTAGCCACGGCTCCTCGGTGTGCCGTGCTGCTAGGCACACCGACTGCTCCACCTTCAAGTTGAGCAGGTACAGTCGGTTTCAGGACCTCTTTACCTTAGCAAGAAGGTGCTGCTCCTGGTCCCTGATCCTAAGGACGCCGTTCTTGATCAGTACCTCGCTGCCGCGCTCATCCAGCTGGCCAATGCTGATGATGCCTGAACGCAGCTGCGGGATATAATATACATCCGTCAGCGTGTGGTGCTCGTCGTTCTGACACCTAAAGATGATGGTGTCACGCCCTCGGATCGCCACCCTTGAGCCGTCACCGAACTTCACCATGCTGGTTACGTTGCCGTCAAGCTCGAAGAAGGCTTCCTTGGATTCCGTCATGTGGTTGCTGGCGCCAGAGTCGAGATACCACCGCTACTCCTATTTGTCGCCCACACGTCTGAGGTGGACTTGGGCGTGTGGTTCGTTGAGGTAGACAGCCTTCAGAGCCTTGCCGTGCCCTTCCGCCGCCATCACATCTGCCTTCTCCTTTGCCTCAACATCGTGCAGTGCACAGAACGTCACCATCAGGAGAGTGGCCTCATCATCCTCATCAGCCTGCGCTAAATGAGCCTCAGTCTTCTTCTCTTGTTTGTGATTTGGGCACTCCTTTGCCCAATGGCCCATCTTCCCATAGCGCCGGCAAGCGTTGGGGTCGACCTTCTTCTTCTCCGAAGAAGCCTTGTCGTGGCGTTTGCCATCGCCACCACGACTGGAGGAGGTTTCCCCGAACTTCTTCATCCGGGCAGCCCACTCTTACTCTGTCAGCAGCAGCTTGCCTATGTCCGTCGTTGCTGTGGCCTGCTCCATGCGCTCGTCTACCACCTGCAGAGGCCTATCACATCCTCAATGATGAGGGTAGACAAGTTCAACATCGTCTCTATGGAGAGAGCGATCTGGATGTACTTCATCGGCACGGAATGGAGGTACTTGGAGACCGCCTCTTCTTCGTCGATGGTGACGCCGTGGCTCCTCAACTTGCTGATGAGCGACTGCAGGCGGAGGGAGAAGTTCTCCACCGATTCACCATCTTTGAACTGGAGGCTGACGTACTCCTGCTTCAGCAGAAGGCCGTCGCCTTCTTTGCGCGGTCGGAACCGACGCGCATCACCGCAATGGCCTCCCACGCCTCCTTAGCAGAGCTCTTAGCCCCCAACGGCTCCCTGTACTCTGCTAGCACAGCAGCGAGGATGACTTTCAACGTTGACATGTCGTCTTGTTCGTTGTCGGTGGCCTTGTCAATGGGCATTCTAGAGCCGTCGGGCTCTGAGCTTAACCTTCATGGTCACCACCCACTCGCCATAGTTGGTGCGAGTCAGCGTCGGCCAACTGGTGCCGCTAACCTCCCCCTTTGCGCGTCGCGCTGGCGACCTCCTCCTGCCGTGGTTGGCAGCCACACCAATGCCTTGCCTTGTCGTCCATCTCCAAACCGTCCGTCATCACCAGCGGTTAGTCTGACGACGGCGCTTGTACGGCTCCGATACCACTTGTTGGCCCCGGGATCTCCGGCACGGGTGAGCCAACCGCTCCACCAGCACTGTCGACCACACACTATGGCTAGAGGTAGAAGAAGGGAGGAAGAACAGAGCGCGCACACACAACACAAGCACCAGCGTTAGCCGGAGCTCTACAAAGGAGATGGTAAAACTAAACTCGCTCAACTTTACTGAGTTACAGTGAATATATATATATATATATATATATATATATATATATATATATATATATATATATATATATATATATATATATATATATATATATATATATATATAACTCTACCCATCTAATCCTAGTATACAGACATGCACAAGCTGTCATACTGCTAAAATGACTAGATGTGACAGTGGGACTGACTTTTGCGCCTGCCCCTACCGCGGCTACCGTGCAGCGGCAGGAGAGCTCTTTCGACGCCTGCCCCTACCGCGCACTCAGATGAGCGCAGCAGATTACTTAACATGACAGACACCCCGATCCTGATCGATGATTACCCAAAAAAACAAAGGCAAATCAACGCACATTCTCCTCTTATGCCCTTTCCCAAACTGTCCTCACCGACTGCAGTAAGTCATCTCAATCAAAATTTGTAAGGATTCAAATGGTTTCTGATGGTCTGCTCTGTATAATTAATTTTCATCCGAGGCTGTGTTTAGTTTACGAAATAAAAACTTTTGGATGTTATATCGGATGTTTCGGGGATGTCGGAAGGGGTTTTCGGATACTAATAAAAAAAACTAATTACATAACTCGTCTGGAAACTGCGAGACGAATTTATTAAGCCTAATTAATCCATCATTAACGCACGTTAGTTACTGTAGCACTTATGGCTAATCATGGACTAATTAGTCTTAAAACATTCGTCTCCCGATTTCCAACCAAACTGTGCAATTAGTTTTTTTTAATCTATATTTAATACTCTATGCATATGCCGCAAGATTCGATGTGATAGTTTAAGGTGAAAATTTTTGGGAACTAAACCAGACCTGAATTTAGCATTAATTCGCCAAGCATTTGGTGGTGATTTAATTTCCCAGTACGTCTCCGATCCATGTCTGCTGCAGTGTAGCAGTGAACGAGTACGTGGGCGCAGTGCGGCACCTCGCGTGCCGGGTCCTGGACCTCCTCGGCGAGGGCCTCGGCCTCGGGGACCCGACGTCCTTGAGCCGCCTCATCTCGGCCATCGACAGCGACTCCCTCCTGAGGATCAACCACTACCCTACGTCCAGCGGCGCGGCGGACATGTCTGCCAAGGGCATCGGGTTCGGCGAGCACACCGACCCGCAGATCCTCAGCCTGCTCCGCGCCAACGACGTCGACGGCCTGCAGGTGCTGCTGCCCGACGGCCACGGCGGCGGTGACCAGTGGGTCCAGGTGCCGGCTGACCCGTCCGCCTTCTTCATCAACGTCGGTGATCTCCTTGAGGTCCGTGCTATGGCTATGCTATCGCGTTTCTTAATTAAAGTTATTAACAGTCACACAACAATCTCCTGTTCATATGATCGCCATGCTTGGCAATGTGCATCAGGCCCTGACAAACGGGCGGTTGGTGAGCATCCGGCACAGGGTGATGGCCAGCACCACCAGGCCACGGCTGTCCACCATCTACTTCGCCGCGCCACCGCTCGACGCCCGTATCGCGGCGCTCCCGGAGACGGTGACTGCCGGCGCGCTGCGGCGGTACAGGACCTTCACGTGGGCGGAGTACAAGAAGGCCATGTACGCGCTCCGCCTCAGCCACAACCGTCTTGATCTCTTCCACGCAAACGCAACCTCCGGCGGCAGCGGCGATGTCGTCGACGATTAGCTCTCTATGAGCGAGCTACATATACAGAAGAGAAGTGAACATGACGAGGGTCTAGTAGTAGAGACTAGAGTTTATGCGACAAAATTTGCGATCTGGCATCGGGCGTGACTGTTGCCGGCGTATTCGCTAGCAACTCTCTTGCAGTGAGATAATGTACTGCAACCGACGTTTAAGCTACTCTGTGACGAGGTTCAGGCTTGTATAGATGCTACACTAGGCATATTTGTAGTACTATATGATATTATGGTCCGTTCGCTTCGCTGGAAAAATAAGCTAAAACACTGTTTCGGCTAATTTAATGTGAAAGAAAAATACTGTTTCGACTAAAAAAACAAGCCAAAAAATATAGATTATAAGACAAGCAACAGAGTCTATATGTTACAACTTACAAGACGGCCCATTACGGACCACTGCCCACACTCATGTTGGTTTACTCTCTAGGAACAATTTGCCGCAGCCACCTTGCTCCCGTCACACACCAAGTTCTTGCCTCCTCCTTGATCTTTCCAATTATCATCTCTGTACTAGAGTTTTGACATTACAAAATTCTTGAATTATGCTCTTTCTAGATTTCTCATGTCACAAGCATCATCGAGGACCGGATTGCCTTCATTTGCCTTCCTGGCACGTTTGCAATATGACGTCATGATGTAGAGACATCTTCAAAAATGTTTCAATTGCTATGTATCCCGCCGTGATTCTTTTATTTTTAATCCTTTTCAAAAACTATTTCTAAAAATAACAGTATTGGTTTTTCTAAAACTCAACTCGTTTGGCCGCGCCAATCTTCTTGGCGCGGCCAATGCAAACTGTTGTGACGCGCCACCCAGTCTGGCGCAGCAGGAGCGCCACTGTGGCAGGTCAGCAGGTTAGCAGGTCAGAAGGATGCGCTCGTCGACTTTCTCTTAAAAAAATCAGGATATCTTTGTATGGAAACATTCAAACATGTCAGGAGTTCCGAGAGAAGTCACCGACCACTCCCTAAAGAGAAAGTCCGGTTCAAAGCCGGTCAGGCAACGCTTACGAAGGTTTGACAACAAGAAGCGTAGAGCTATAGAAGAGGAAGTAGGAAAGCTTAAAGTTGCTGATTTTATTATAGGGAGGTTTTGCATCCAGACTGGTTAGCAAACCCAATCCTTGTACCTAAGAAACATAATCAATGGAGAATGTGTGTCGACTATACGAGCTTGAACAAGGCATGTCTCAAAGATCCTTATCCTTTACCTCGTATAGATCAAGTCATCGACTCCATTACATGTGGCAAATTGTCTGTTTCCTCGACACCTACTTTGGTTATCACCATATCAGAATCAAGGAGTCTAACTAGCTAGCTACGTCATTCATTACCCGATCGGCTCAATTTGTTACATAACAATGCCTTTTGGGCTAAAGAACGCGCAGGCTACATGCTAGCGGTGCATGCAGTGCTGTTTGCATGCGCAGAACGGTAGAAACGTAGAATCCTATGTCGTTGGCATAGTTGTCAAGTCAAAAATGGCTGAGGATCTCATTCAGAACCACTCGAAGATTTTTGATAACCTCTAAAAATTTGATATAAAGTTAAACCTGCAGAAGTGCACCTTTGGTGTTCCTTCACCATTGGGATACACTGTCTCAGCGAGAGGGATCGAGGCCAACCCTGTTAAGGTAAAATCTATCCTCAAGATTGGTCCACCTAGAGAACTGAAGGATGCACAGAAGCTAATGGGGTGTCTGGCGTCTTTAAGCAGCTTCATCTCATGACTAGGCGAGAGGGGTTTCACCATGTATAAACTTCTTTGCAAGACACCAAACTGGCAATGGACTCAGGATGCCCGGAAACCTTCTGTTTTCGTTGCTCCCCTCAATGAGGAGCCATTACTGCTCTACATAGAGCAGCCACTACCCAGGTAGTTAGTGTAGCGATAGCAGTTGAAAGAGAAGAAGCTGGGAACATACAGTTCGTCCAAACGTCCGGTTTACTTCCTTAGCCAGATGCTTAACGAGAGCAAAACTCAATACCCACATATCTAGAAGATACTTTATGAAAACCTGCCTGGCAGGAAAAGCATTCCAGCATATCCAGGAGATACTTTATGGAAACCTTCCTGGCAGGAAAAGCATTCTCAAGCGTTACATTTTTGTTACTTGGGACAGATTTGCTTCCCGGTAAAAATTACTAACCTAAGGTTCAATCCAAAAAGCCCCCTCAGTGATCCTGTCTCTAGATACTTCAGCGAGAAGAGGGTGTCGCTTGACAGCGGGGATCAGCTCGAACTGTTGGTAGCGATGACAGCGCCTAGTTCAGTGGCCTTGTATGCAAGTTGTTAGCGAGGCTAGTGGTGCGGCATCACCATAGAGAAAACCTTTTTCGGTTACCTTGCCTAGACCTCTTCGAGTCTTCATTAGGGATAGCAATCCTAATATATATATATATATATATATACTCCCTCCGTCTCAAAATAGAAGTTGTTATGGGATACATGCAGGTCAAAACTTTCTCAACTTTGACTAGGTTTGTAGAAAATACGTGCAACATTTATATCTCTAAATAAGTTTACTATGAAAGTACATTCAACGATCTCTCTAACGATACTAAATATGTATTATAAATATTAATATTATTTTATATATAATTGGTCAAAGTTAAAAAAAGCTGACTTTTCAAAAAGTGAGAACGACTTCTATTTGGACAGAGGGAGTAGTTCGAGTACCTATGGTACTGTAGTCGATAGTTGTAGGCATAGGGATTTCACATGAGGTTTGGAACTAGTACAATTCTACTCGCAGGTATAGATGCGAGTATGTCACTTCACCAATCAGCGCTAAAAATTACGAAGAATTACATCTATTCTAATGATAATTTAATTTGTGGGTGCGGGTACCCGTAAGTATGATACCTGACAGGTACGAGTATTATGGATATAAAATCTTACACTACTGACACAGATGATATAGATGCCAGTATAAAATTTTATCTGATACTACTTTTGTTTCTAGATAATTAGATTTCTAGAGTTGTTTTAAGTCAATTTTTAAGTTTAACTGAATTTATAGAATAGAACATAACGATTTATGACACTAAATTAGTATTATTACATATACCCACTAGTAGAGAACGTACCTTTTATCCGAGGCTAAAATGGGTTCTAGTCCCGGCATTTTTTGCGCTCGGGACTAGAGAGACCTTTAGTCCCGGTTGGTGTCTCCAACCGGGACTAAAGGTCCCTGCCCAACGGCTACTGCGCTCGGCACAGTGGCAGGGGACCTTTAGTCCCAATTGGACACACCAACCGGGACTAAAGGTGGACCTTTACTCCCGGTTGAGCCACCAACTGGGACTAAAAGTCCTCCAACCTTTAGTCCCGGTTGGTAACACCAATCGGGACTAAAGGTAGACCCTTTAGTCCCGGTTGATAACATCAATCTGGACTAAAGGACAGTTGACCGGGACTAAAGGTAGACCCTTTAGTCCCGGTTGATAACATCAATCCGGACTAAAGGACGGTTGGTAACACCAACCGAGACTAAAGGTCCCCCGATAGGTTAGTTCAACCGGGACTAAAGGTCCCCCGATGAGTTAGTTCAAAAGGGAGGCATGCGGTACTGTAAAATATATTTTTACAATATGCTTATTGGTATCATAAATATATGTGTCATTTTCTATAAAATTGTTCAAACATAAAAAGTTTAACTTCAGACTATTTAGGAATTGATTTATTCAGTGATGGATCAATTTGTTGCGAGTGGATATTCCATAGCACCTTATCCAACCGACCCTCCATTCTTCTCTGAATCGCTAATGGATCCTTAGAATTTAATTCATTCTAATAGTTATAATTTAGACATAAATTAATTAAGCTAATATAATTATATATGAAATATATTTGTATATTTATTGTTAAGTATACAAGGGACATACTTATATGTTGTATTTCTACTGTAGGAAGTGAGTTGAAGAGTGTGCTATAAGTTGAAAAATAGAATTATAGCATAGTGATATTAGAATCCATTTCCATCTCCCACCTTATGAATTAGAGATAGGCTTATTTGTGAACTTGAGAAATTTATAAAATGTCTAATTCCAAGCCAAATAACCTAATCCATTAAGTAGATTTCAATTCTTCCAAAATGAAGGGATCCAAATGGCCCATAAGAGTATTTTTAAGAGTCTACTCAGACTAGAGTCATTTGAATAAAAATCATTTTTATACAGAGATGCTAGCGCCTAGACGTTTGGACGCCTGCATTTTGCACCCCGTGTCGCGTGCATCTCCTTTTCTCGCGCCCTCCTTCATTTCCCACGCCCGCATCGCCTGGTTGCCTCGCCCTGCCTACACCACCTGCTTGCACACAGGGACTGCACGCTTCCGCTCCGCTTCCCACATGCAGGTGAGGACTGCCTGTGCCCTGCTCCGTATCGCGCACGCGGAGACCGCCTGCGCCTGCTCCATATCGCACTCGCACCCCCACCTACGAATATGCGTCGTGTGACTCTAGCCGTTTTATTACGCTTGAAACATGAAAACACTTGCAACACCAAAAAACCTTTTGCTACATACGTCTAAACATATATGAAACATTTAGAACAAACGTGTACAACATCTGTGTGAAACATATGTGACATCAAGGTAAAACACTTGCAACATGCGTATAAAAATGGATGAAATATTTTGAACAAACGCTTGCAACATCTGTGTGAAAACATATGCAACACCTAGATAAAACACTTACAACATACGTGATACGTCTGAAAAATAGATGATACACTTTGAATAAACGCTTGCAATATACGTGTATAGCTATTGCAATATGTGCAACATCCCAATCTACTTTTGCAACATCTATATGCAACACTTGCAATATACCTCTGAAGCACTTGAAATATACACTTGCATCGTGGGCTTCTTCCTGTCGTGGCGTCGGGATGGTGGTGGCGTAGTTAGGGCGCAGTGCACGCTGTGGCCGCCATAGGCGAGCATGGAGTGGGGCGCGGCAGTGGATGGTCGCACAGCGAGGCAGAGTGGGCGGCGCGGTGATGGATTGCCACGCGGCGAGGCGGAGTGGGCAGCGCGGCGCATGATGGGTGTATGTGGGGAGATGGTCACGACGGCGAGGAAGAGTGGCGCGACGCGGCGTAGGATGGGGGCATGCGCGAGAAGATGGTCGCGGCGTCGATGCGGATTGGGGCGAGCGGATCGCCGCACGGTGCCGTGAAGGATGCGATGGGCAAGCGGAGTGGGGAGATATTTCTGAGAGAGATGAGGAGACGTAGAAAGTGGGCAGGTTTGTTATGCCGATACTGGTAGCGTGTGGGTCCATCAAGGAGCGTTCAGGCGGAAGCCTTGACCGAAGCATTATCCGTCCGAACTAAAGCATTATCGTTTTTTATATCTTTCCATTCCAATAGTTTTATTATATCTCGTGCGTGCTATAGAAAGTTAGCCTCAGCTCTCTATTTTGGACTAGCTATATTTAAATATTTAATTAAAAAACTGTCGGAGGCTATTGTTTACCAAATGTATATTTGTTCCAAAAGTATACAGAGTCTCTGCTCCAAAAGTAAACCGGCCCTCGCCACCTTCTCTGCTCTGGCTCTCTTCCGAACTTCCATTCCATGGCTCCAACAACCTCACCAGTCCACCACCACCGCTTCCTCGCACCCGACACCGCTGCCCTCCTCCTCCTCGTCGTCGTCCTCCTCCTCGCGCCATCCTCCAAGGCGGCTGAAACCCCCATCTCGTTCTCCTTTCCATCTTTCTCCCTCCGCAACCTCACCCTCCTCGGCGGGGCCTCGCTCCGCGCCGACTCCGTCTCTCTCCCGCCGCCCTCCTCCCATGCGCTCTTCCCGCTCCCGCTCCCGTTCCCATCCAATGCCTCCTTCTCCACCTCCTTCCTCTTCGCCGCACCCGCCTCCACGCATCCCGCTTCGCGCCTCTCCTTCCTCCTCATCCCCGACCCGCTCACGGTCGGCGCCACGGCCAAAAACCGGTCCCTACCGCTCGAGATCACCCTGGACGCGTCCAAGGGCCTCGTCTCCGCGTACTCCGCCGGTGAGAGACTTGCCGGGAACTCCACCGGCGCTGTGAATCTTCGGAACGGCAGCGGGGTCGGTTCCTGGGTCATCTACGACGCGCGCCGGGCGCGCCTCGATGTATTCCTCAGCCACGCGAGCGTGAAGCCCCGGACGCCAGCTCTGTCCTCGGACGCCGCGGGCCTTGGCGTCCGCTTCTCCGAGTTCATGTTCGTCGGCCTCGAGGTGTCGTCGGACAACGCGAGCAGCGGCGACGACGGCTTCATCGTCGAGAGCTGGACCTTCCTCACGTCCGGGATGCCGCCTGTCGACACGGCATCCCGGCCCGCGCACAGCATGTCCGACAGCGTCCCCAGCACGCCCGCGACGCCTGGGGTAACCATCCTGAACATGAAGGGTGGGCGCCGCAGGAAACTAGTATTGGGGCTTTCCGTCCCCTTGCCCATTGTGTTCCTTGGTGCACTCACGGTGTTTGTGGTAATGTCTCTGAAGAAGTGGAGGTGGAGTACTGTAGTGGTTGACAAGGGAAACGGAGCAAAGATAACAGGTAAACCGAGGCAGTTCATGTACCAAGATCTCTTCTCGGCTACAAATGGATTCGATCCCTCTATGGTGGTCGGCAGCGGTGGTTTCGGTACAGTGTACAAGGCAGTGTGCCCACACTCTGGGGTCACGTACGCGGTCAAGAGGTCGAAGCAATCCAGAGAGAGCTACAATGAGTTCAGTGCCGAGCTTACCATTATTGCTGACCTGAAGCACCCCAATCTGGTTCCGCTTCAAGGGTGGTGTACAGAAAGGGACGAGCTGCTGCTTGTCTATGAGTTTATGTCCAACGGCAGCCTAGATGAGGCTCTCCACCCTTGTTCAGGCACGGAGCGTTATGTCACCCTCGACTGGTCTCAGCGGTACAACGTTGCTGTTGGCATCGCTTCTGCGGTGGCATACCTACATGAAGAACATGACAAGCAGGTGATCCACAGGGATATAAAGTGCAGTAACATACTTCTTGACTCGTGTTTTAGTCCAAGATTGGGAGATTTTGGGCTTGCGAGGTTAAAGGATCATGACACAAGTCCTCGGTCGACCCTGGCAGCAGGGACTCTTGGTTACCTTGCACCTGAGTATCTCCAGATGGGTAAAGCTACAGAAAAGAGTGATGTCTACAGCTATGGGGTTGTGCTGCTTGAGATCTGCACAGGCAAGCGGCCAATAGAGATAGAAGCACCCAGCAGCATGAACATGTTGAATATTGTTGATTGGGTTTGGAATTTGCACTCAGAAGTCAAGCTTCTGGATGCTGCGGATCCATATCTTAGTGGACAGTATGACAATGAGCAAATGATGAGGCTACTTCTTCTAGGTTTGAGCTGTGTGAATCCGTTCTCAGAAGAGAGACCTGTCATGAGGACAGTCCTAGGCATACTGGAGGGCAAGAATGAGTTACTTCCTGTTCCAAGAAAGAAGCCGCTTCTTGTGTTTGTTTCAAATGTGCCTGTTGACCTTGAGAGAGTAGTTTCAGAGTGCAATCAGAGTACAGTTTCAAGTGATCTGTATGAACTGAAAATTGACCTAAACTAGGTAACAAACTTTCCTTGTCAATTGAACAGTTCAGAAATATTTTTTTTACTTGCGTTTACTTTGTGCATTTTTTTGTGTATGCTGCGTGTCTCAGTCCAGATTATGCTAGTAAGGGAATGCAATATAATGGCTATCTCAAGAATTCGTCCATATCTGTGTGAATAGAACTTCTTTTTTCATTCCATGATGTTGTAGTTCGATTCTTGCTCATCACTCTGCAGAAAACTGAAGTTCTGTGACTCGTGAATACCTACAGGGAAAACAATTCCTTGTGCGTTTATGAGACATTAGACTTCTTTAGGCCTGCAGGATTTATGTAAACCTGAAATGAAGTTATGACTAACTATAAGTTATCATGGATGAGTTCTCACAGTGGATTTTTGTTTCCAATTATACACAAGAATATAGAAGTTATTTTGCACACACATGCATGTCCCCCCTCACTTGAGCACAACAATTGCAATTTAATGGTTCAACATTTGCACTGCTAATAACAATAGCTGACGGATGGAATGTGGTTGTGCCACATTAACCTGCTGCAAATGACTTGTGAGTCTGATAGGATTTCTGATCCTACCAGGAACACTACGAAGCCTATAGGGGTGAGAGGGAGGAAGAGCTGGCTTGGGACCTCGCTGCCGGCGAGCAGGCGCCGTGGCGAGGGTTGTGCGCGCGTGAGCAGTAGAGCAGAGGAGGCTAGGGCAAACTCCCGGCTCCCTAAGGAAGCCGGAAACAATATATTGTTTATGCTTGATTCCCAATCGTTTTACAATTCATCTATATATAGTTCTTCTAAAAATAGGAAACTGACTCGACAATAGCCAATAATTCTAATATAGATAATTATCCTGGGCCCTAAGCCCATGCACCAGGCGCCCAAGTCAGCCACCCGTGGCCCTTCTCCTTGCATACTGGATTCCGGTCATAACATCTCTCCCCGCCTGCAAAAACAGCTCGTCCTCGAGCTGGAAGTCGGGGTAGTCAGCACGAAAGTCGTCGAGGATCTCCCACGTCGCGTCATCTTCAGGAAGGCCATTCCACTTGATCAAAACGCGCCAGACCCCGCGGCGCTGCTGGGCGCGCAAGGCACGCTCCGGAGCCGGTAGCACCCGACCGTCGTGTACTGGAGGAAGATCGCCTGGAGTTGGTGGAGGGTCGTCGCGATGCTGCTTCAGGAGGCCAACATGGAAGACGTCGTGGATGCGAGCGCCCTCCGGCAGCTGGAGACGGTAGGGGACACGACCGATGCGTTCGAGAACGCGGAACGGCCCGGCCCAACAGAGCCCCAACTTGCGCTTGGCGCGCGGGTCGAGGGACTGCGTGGTGCGGTGGAGAAGACGCAGCCAGACCCACGAGCCCACCTCGAACTCCACGTTCCTGTGGTTGGCGTCGTAGTGCTTCTTGGACAGCTGCTGAGCTTGAAGGAGCCGCTGACGAACCTCGGCAAGCATCTCGTCACGGCTGCGGAGGAGAGTATCGGCGGCCTCCGTGCGGGCCGTCCCCGGCCTGTAGGGCAGAATGGGCGGTGGAGGGCGGCCGTAGACGGCCTCGAAGGGCGTAGCGTGGAGGGCGGTATGGAAGGAAGTATTATAGCAATACTCCGCCCACGACAGCCAGTCCACCCACGCCCGAGGCCGGTCACCTGTCACACAGCGCAAATACATAGCAATCATCTTGTTGACCACCTCGGACTGGCCGTCCGTCTGAGGATGAAAAGCGGTACTCATGCGGAGCTGCACGCCCGCCATCTTGAAAAGGTCCCGCCATCTTGAAAAGGTCGCGCCACACATGGCCAGTGAACACGGGGTCCCGGTCGCTGACGATGGAGAGGGGGAACCCGTGCAGGCGCACAATACCGTCGAAGAAGGCACGGACGACCGATGTGGCGGTGTAGGGGTGGCCGAGTGCAATAAAATGCGCGTACTTGGAGAAACAGTCGACGACGGTGAGGATGACTGACTTGCCCGCAACCTTCGGCAGCCCCTCGATGAAGTCCATGGAGATATCCGCCCACACTTGGGAGGGCACGTCGAGGGGCTGCAGCAGTCCCGCCGGCTGCAGCGTCTCCGTCTTGTTGCGTTGGCACGTGGTACAGGAACGCACCAAGTCCTGAACCAGCACCTTGTCCCGCAGAACATAGAAGTCGGCGCGGAGGCGATGCAGCGTCTTCTGGATGCCCTCATGGCCGGCCGCATGGGCCAGCAGGAGCACCTGGTGACGGAGATCCTCATGGTTCGGCACATAAATGCGAGATCCATGGAGGAGGAGCCCGTGGTCGAGACGCCACGACTCGCCGAGCTCGCCGGCCTGCAGCTGCTGCAGCAGCCGTTGGCCGTCCGGCGCTAATGACGTCGCGCGCCGAATGTCCTCCAGGAGGGAGAACGAGGGCCCTGACACGGCCATAGCCGCCCCGGGCGCTCTCGGTGCTGAAGCAGCCGCGCCGTCCTCAACATCGCGGCGGGACAAGGCGTCTGCCACGGTATTCAGGCGTCCCGGGCGGTACTCCACCGTGAAGTCGAAGCCAAAAAGTTTACTGATCCACTGGTGCTGAGGAACGGTGGACAAACGCTGGTCAAGCAAAAATTTGAGACTATAATGATCAGTGCGAACCAGGAAGGGCCGCCCCCATAGATAAGGGCGCCAATGGCGCACCGCCTGCACCAATCCGATCAGCTCGCGTTCGTAGGCGGCGAGCTTGAGATGTCGAACTGCAAAGGGTCGGCTGAAGTAGGCGAGGGGTCCCGCGCCCTGGTGGAGGACGGCGCCGAACCCCGCACCCGACGCGTCGCAATCGACCACAAAGGTCGCGTCGAAGTCCGGCATCTGCAGGACGGGCCCTGTGGTCAAGGCGCGTTTGAGCGCCTCGAAAGCTGTCGTCGCGTCGTCGTCCCACAGGAACGCGTCTCGCCGCAAGAGACGCGTCAGCGGGGCAGCGATGATGCCGAAGTCCTTGATGAATTTCCAGTAGTATCCTGCCAGGCCCAAGAAGCCGCGGAGGGCCTGGGCGGAGCGGGGAAGCGGCCATGCAGCCACGGCGGCGACCTTGTCGGCGTCCATGGCGACACCGCCCTCGGCGATGACATGGCCCAGATAAGCCACGGACGGCGCCCCAAAGGAGCACTTGGAGCGCTTCAGATGTAGGTGGTGCGCTTGCAGGGCGTTGAGGACGATGTTGACATGCTGCAAGTGCTCAGCCCACGACGAGCTGTAGATAAGGATGTCATCGAAAAATACCAGCACAAACCTCCGGAGGTAGGGGCGGAGGACGTCGTTCATCAAGGCCTGGAAAGTGGTCGGGGCATTGGAGAGCCCAAACGGCATGACCAGGAACTCGAAGTGGCCATGGTGGGTGCGGAACGCCGTCTTGGCGATGTCGTCGGGGTACATCCGCACCTGGTGGTACCCGGAGCGGAGGTCAAGCTTGGTGAAGAACCTCGCCCCGTGCAACTCATCCAGCAGTTCGTCGACCACCGGGATCGGGAACTTGTCCTTGGAGGTCTTGGCGTTGAGAGCACGGTAGTCGATGCAGAAATGCCAAGACTGATCCGCCTTCCGCAGCAAGAGAACGGGCGCGGAGAACGGCGACGTGCTGGGCCGGATGATGCCCTACGCCAGCATAACTGCGCACTGCCGTTCCAGCTCGTCCTTCTGCAGCTGGGGGTAGCGGTAGGGGCGCACCGCCACAGGGGCGGTACTGGGCAGCAGGTGGATGCGGTGGTCGTAGGGACGCGCCGGAGGGAGCCCCGTGGGCTCCGCGAAGACGGCGGCGTGCTGCTGAAGAAGGGCGTCCAGCAAGGGCAGCCGGGAGTCCAGTACCATCGCGGCGGACAGCTGGGCAGAGGCGGCCGGTTGAGGTGCAGACGCACCGGCCACCCCCTGCCAGGTGATGCGGCGGCCGTTCCTCCAGAACGATAGCGTGAGGGCCTCGCAGTCCCATAGGATGGGGCCCAAGGTCCGGATGAAGTCGAAGCCGATGATGAAGTCGAACCAGCCCAAGTTGAGGCCAACGCAGGTGACGGCGAAGTCCTCGTCGTAGATGCGGATGGGCACGTTGCGAGCGATACCCTCGCAGGGCATGCGGTCACCATTGGCCACCGTGATCCGTAGGTGGTCACCACCGGCCGGAACGAGGCCCAGGCGACGCATGGTCTCCCCGGCCACGAAGTTGTGCGTCGACCCGGTATCGAGGAGGGCGAGGAAGCGTTCCCCCTTGATGGTGACGACGGCAAGACATGATGGAATTAGCCGCCAATCCTCGCAATACCTGAAGAGAAACCACGAGGGCGTTAGCGGCGGGCGGCGCGTGGGCGTCCTGGTCGACCGGCAGGCCATCCTGGGCGTCGGCTGCCGGCTCGTCGTCGAGGTAGTCTTCGCCCTCGAGGTAGAAGAGCTGCGGGCACACATGGTCACGAACGTAGGGCTCGTCGCAGTTGAAGCACAACCCCTTACGACGACGTTCCTGCTGCTCGGCAGGAGACAGGCGACGAAACTGGCGCACGGGCGGGGCTGCGACGGCCCCCTGGTCCGTGGAGGGGCGGCGGGCCGCGCCGGGCGACGCGCTAGGGGCGCTTCTTCTTTGTTGTGCCGAACGACGGCTGTGGTGGTCGGGCGCCCATGTACCGGTGGTGGAGGCGCCGGCGTATACGCGCAGTCCTCAAAGGCCCGCGCCAGGTACATGGCGGACTGGAGGTCCGGCGGCGCACGCATCTGTACCTGCTTCCTGATGTGGTCCGGGAGGCCGCCCACGTACAACTCCGCCTTTTGGCGAGCGGAGAGGTCGCGGGCATGGCAGAGCACGGCGTTGTAGCACTCTGAGTAGTCCTGCACAGTAGAGACGAAGGGGAGACGGGCGAGCTCCGCCAAACGGGTACCCAGAACCGGCGGTCCGAAGCGGAGTGAGCAGAGGGCCCGAAAGCGCTCCCATGGTGGCATCCCCTCGTCTTGCTCCAGGGCATAATACCATGTCTGAGCTGCACCGCGCAAGTGGTAGGACGCGAGCC